CTGCATTTGCCAGACGCGTTTATTGTTATCTATAGTAAATGCTTTAAACTATTTATTATTGTTAATAAAAATATGGGGAATCTATTTGTCGCCGGCAGTTACAAAAATCTCTAAATTTTAAAATCGAAATAATATATAGTTATTGGGTGCGAAGCAGCCAATAACGGAAATTATTTGTAAAATAATTTCATTATCTGGCTGTGAAATGAAGAAAAACGCTAATGAAGTTTTAAGCAGAAAGAGCGACAAATATCCAATAAGATATACCATTGATCCGATTAAGATGATTGAGAGGAATATAAGAAAAAGAAATGAAAAGATACAAAATATGAGAAAAAGAACAAATAACATTTTAAGCAGGAGAGATTAATGATAATGATGGCTAAAAAAAAAAAAATTGAAGATAACGAAGGCTTTATAATGAATTTAAGACAAAGATGGGTTTTGATAATTGTATTTTTTTACTCTCAGCAATTAGTCAATCATATGAAGTATTAATTAATAAAATAAAATAGTAGTATAATGAAAGGGACTTTGTGTACCAGAAACTAAGTTGAAAATATACACCCAATCACAGATTTTAGATAATGGCAGAGTAACAATTGTTGTAATTGTTACCCTGATTGTAGTTAACAAATTAACAAATAAAGCGACCATTAAATGAATAATTGCAGAATTACATGTATAAAAATAAGCGAAGATTAATTATGATGAATTAATCATAGCGAAACTCAGCTTTTGATATTACTTGATCAGATGAACTTCAGTAATAACTGGCCAATTTATTATAAGATTATAAGAGCATATACTTGTATTAAATCTATTCTATACTGAATTTGCAATCAATAATGATATAGGATAATAAATACCTATTCATTTTCCCGGCTATGCGGCCAATTGTTTCAAGTGTCTTTTTTGATACATTAGTATAATGATTATATATAATATAATCAAGAACGATATTTTTGAATGGCCGGGAAAGTGAATAAGTATTTTCTGCCCTGGATACGTGTACTCTCCGTGTAAAAATATTATTTATTGATATTTATTTAACTAACAACTGTGTCGATATTTCATTGCCAGTGGAAATAGTATAATGTGATAGCCCAGAATTAGAAATATAAAGAGAAGCAAACGAGGCAATATTAGTAATGTGTTTGTTAGATAAGTAAATGTATAAATTCTATAATCTACGTAATCTGATTCAAAATACTAACTGTATTTAGAAATCAATTCAATCAGATGATGAACGAAACCAAAATCAATCGTAAAGGACATTGTCATTCGAAAATGTATCGAAATGTCATGTATGATGATAGCTGAAAATCATTTATAGATAAGCAATTGTTATATAAGTGACATTATGCAAAAAATTATTGACAGCAGTAAAAATTAACTATAACAATGACGAACGCGATTCAATGTAAATTATTATATAAAATAATTAGTGAATGCAGTAAACACAATCTTGGCTGAAAATATAGAATAGAATAAAGAAAGGATCACAAACAAATTTTAAACTATTGTTCCGTTGAAAGCAGAATTAGCGAAAGAGATAAGGTAAAATAAGAGGGCACTTTCACTAAAATTTAAATTTTGACTGATGAAAAGCTATATATAAAAATATCAAAAGAAAAGTTATCAGGGGGATTCGCTTACAAAAAGCACAAGGATAAAGTTAAGATAATTATGAACAATAACACAAAACTCCTTACATGATACAAAATAAAATGAGATCACAACATTGGTTAGTTTTAAACACAACAATCTAAGCATGAATATTCACTTATATATATTATATTATTACATTATTGAGTATGCTCGTTTACTATTACAATAGCCGATTCTTTAATCCATTAATTTGACTGATAAAGAAAAAAGAAAAAAACGCTATACATCAATAATTTCAAGAAAGCACAATTCTGATGAAATTACAATATAATGACATAGTCATATGGGCGGAAATTTTTAGTAGAGTGCTGTGACTATATAAAAATAGGTGATATAACAAAGTAATAGGTCATTTAAGTAATCTACTACTCCTAAAAGCTGATAAGTAACGGATCAGTTTTGAATCATTTAGCTGATCTGTTCGGTACACTGCTCATAAAAACTGACAAGTAACAGATAAGTAACTCATAAGCAATTTATAAGCAATTTTACAATCACCGACAAATAATCACTTTTAATCTTAATAATCACACTATTATATATATTATTGGCTCGAATTCTATCATTCAACTTATCTAATCACAAAATTGAAGATTTCCGCCCGCCCATATGTATAGGTATCCGATCAACTTTTGTTGATACATATTACTTAAATGATTTGGTGATTCTATAATAGATCTAATTTAAAATTGCTTTTCATTTTATCTTCAGAGTAGTGATTCTGGCCGAGCATAATTTTTCGGCCATGACCAAGCCTATAAATTTTATCGGCTTAGTCGGCCTGGCCGAACTTACAGTACTATTTAGTTTTGTTCTTTACAGCTGTTTTCATAAATTCTGGGGCACCTAAAAATTTTTTCGTTTCTTGAAACCACCTCGATCTCATTCTAAAAATCACCTACCTACTTAGTTGTACTTGGAACTTCGATATGGAGACAGCGAAGTAGTTTCCGAAAAGTTAAATGATTCTAAGAACAAGATTGAAGAGGTTTCGGGAGACGAGAAAATTTTTAGGTGTCCCAGAATTTATGAAAACAGCTGTAAATCAATAATAATACTTGCCGAAAATCTCGCTAATGTCTTTATAAATTGATTAAGTAAATCATTGAATAAATTAATAAACCAAAATAACAAATTAACCTGTAAAAATCTTAATATAAGTACACCTCACCTTTAGCATCATTTTCATGTGCAATAGTAGGCACTTCACTTGATTTATTGTGCAAATTCAAACTCATATTCTTTATTTGTAATATAAGATTCTCGGTCGTTTCATTTTGATATATTAATTCCAAATGGCTCAAAATTTCTTCCCTAATGGAGGTTGCGTCAGGTCTTTTGTCCGGATTTTCATCCCAGCATTTATTCATTAATGCTAAGCACCAATTTGAAGTGTCTTCGTTAAATTCGATTGGTCTGAGTTTTTCATTTTCTCCTCGCTCAACAAAATACTTGATCATAATTTTACGTGTGATATCATTTTCGTCAATAAACGGTGGGTTTTCGGTTAAAATTTCCCACATAATCATGCCGAAAGCATAAATGTCTGCCTTTTGGGTATATAGCTTTTCCTTAATTAATTCTGGAGCCATATATTCAATCTTTCCATAAGCGCCATCTTTGCCTGATTCTCCACAGAATCCCAAGTCACTAATGAACCATCCATCAGTGAGGTCGCCTTGAAGTATATTTCCTGGATGCAAATCTCCATGAAACATTGTCAAGTCATGAATTTGTTGAATGCTAGATGCAATTTCGTACAGAATTTTAATCTTTTGAATCAATTTTTTATCTTCAGATTGTCCTAAAAATTCTTCTGAGTCTAAAAAATTTCTTAGATTCCATTTCATACGAAGCAAAACAAGCATAAAACTCTGGTTTTTTGGATTTTTTGTTAGCCCAAAACATCTTACTACTGGTAAGCCCGTATGGTGCACAAAATTAAAATGTGATCTAATCTAAATATATATAAAATCTTTAGTTAATTTATATTTTTTAATTAAATTTCAATGCTATTCTGAACCTACCTCGCGTAACCATCTTTCATCTGCATTATTTGGGGATTTAAGAATCACCTTTACAGGTTCAGATCTTACAAGCCTTTTATTCAAACGATCCCATCTTTCAAAAATTCCATCTTTCCACATTGCTGAATAAATTGTTGCACATCCTCCCTTACAATCGGTCATCTCTTCGACATCAATAAAATTATCATAGTCTATCCATTCAAGAATTGATCCTGGTTCTGTTGCGTTTTGTTGAAGCTCTTGAATCCATCCGTCAATGTATTTATTTCCGGATGTCCAATTGGGGAAATTATCTTTCAGATACTTTCGAATACAATGTTCACAAAATTGTAATGCTAAATGCACTTCATTACAATTTTCACATTCTCTCTTGTCGATATTTTTGGTGAAACCATATTCATTATCATAAATTGTGTGGGAAGCCATTTGTTTATCATACATTTCATCAACAGAAGACTTCAAAAAATCTTTTTGAAAAAAGTTAAGTTTCTTATGATTATCGATTTTTTCTTTTAAATCGTTTTTTGCTTGCTCATTTTCTATATGATAGTCCATAGGAATTAACATGCGGTCTAATTCCCTAAGTACATATTCATAATTGATATGTTTTTTAATAAAATCCTCATCAACTTCGACATAATCGTCATCATTCAAGTTAATATCGTGGTCAGGTTTTTTATCATAATTATCATCATTATTAATAACTTCATCCAAGCTAGCGTCAAGTTTTTCATCCATGATAAATTAAAAAAAAAAAAAAACCCCCCCCAAAAGTACAGTACGTTTATCGCTACTGTATACGCACATTTTTTTTAAAATAAAAAAAAATGGCAGGGCTTTTACGACTAATTGTGTAACTATTTATGTTGCGCTAAGTAAATAAGCAGCTGTTTATCGTTTAGCCACCGACTGCTTATCAGTTATTGTATTGAAATTTCTATATAAAATGTACATATAATACCAGATGTAAACAAATTTTTTGATTGATAGGGATTTATTGACCATGGACGAAGATAAGCAATTCATTATTTCGGTTGATTCTAGTACTGGCGTCGATAAAGATAACATTGAGATTTATGGTTCTTATAAAAATAATTATGTTTCCCCACATAACGGACATGGAATAGATCGTATTGTCAGTTCACCAAATATGAAATATATTGTAACTTGGAGTAAGGAAGACGAGTCAGTCTTCGGATGGCCAGTCCCTGAAATCACTGAGGGGCAGTGCCGACTTAATTTCGACATATCAATTGATCTTAAAGTTCTAAATTTGGACGTTACTTCATTAATTGGGGTCTCTGACTGTAAAGATATTATTTTGTGGATTAAACGGGATGATCCTTATGATTTTGGTAACTGTTTGACTGTTCACTTTATCGACAGTCATTTCACCGAAAGTTCATTTAGCCTACATTACATAGGGTTAGAATTGGCATTTGATTAGTTGAAGGTATATATATTTAATATATTGTCACTTGTCATGATGTCAACTAAATGAGCTGCCGGTGAAATGACTTGTCGGTGAATACGTAGGGCGGATCCGTTGATCAAGACTACAGTCATGATTGCACGAATCTAGCCGATTGAAAAAGATTATGCATAACATAAATCATTTTTTATTTATTATTATTTTTACAGAAATTATTGATATCACAACCAACTCAAGATATATATTAAATGAACAAGGTTTAAAAGGAAAAATAATACAAAACCGTGAATGTATTTCCTTTCTTGAAAACGGTGACTTGGCTATTATTAAGGGAGAGCCTGTTTATCGAGTACATACATTTTCAAAAATAAATTCTAATGGTAAATGTAAATGGATTTGCAAAAATACTATTAAACTCGCAAAATATTATAGGTGCTTTATTTTTCCAAAAGGAAAGTTGCTAATCCTTTTGGAGTTACCGTTTACTATTATTCAATGGGATTTAGTAACGCAGAAGTTTGAAGTACAATATATTTTAGATTGGAATTTACACCGATATAAAGATTATATGAATATATATTTAAACAGTGACAGTTCATTGCTAGCAGTGGCAGGAAATGCTAGATATTTGAACCATTCAAACTCATCGGAACAAGACTTGACTGAATGTACTGAAAAAATGATGGTTTATATTTATTCAGCAATTTCGGGTGTAATGTTAGAAAAATGTAAGTGTCCATTATACTGTATTGATATGGCAATTTATATTTGTAAATTACCGTAGTTTGATTGTTATTTTTATTGGTAATGTAGGTGCATTTGATTATAATCTTGACATAAGTATATGCTTTATTGGATCAAAAAATAGTGAACGTTTATTTGTCAACGATTATATAATGAATCCACAAAATCTTTCTAATAATATAGATGCTAAAGACTTACTTAAGGTTACATTTGAGGATAATGAACCAACGCTAATCAAAAATGTTATTATATCTGATTACATTATCGGTATTTATTATGATCATGTAATTATTAAAAATCTCATTCATCATAAAAGATGGACTGACTACGTACATTATGACAAAATTGATATTTACTCCTGTGGTAATGAAATTAGGCAAAAAATACAAAGTACTTTAGAAAAGTATTTAAAAATATATGAAACAAATCTAGAATATTCCCAAGATATTTCAGTAACTGAGTCACATATTGGAAAGATATGCACTTGGAACGTAAGCCACACTACACATGATGACTATGGCACTTATAACGTAATATCGTTAGAAGCTAAGAAAATTAATCATGAAAATAACAATTGGGATAAAGTTGGAGACACGATACATATATGGACAACAATGTCAACACGTGTGAAGAACAGTAGCTATAAACATTATCTCATGGAATCTTGGCTTCTTAAGAGTGAGGATTTATTGATAATTTCATCTTTCGGTATACAAATATGGACCATAAATTCTGGAAAAGAGATCACATTACTTTATTATTGGGTTAACTTTAAAGTTAGTGACAATTTATTTTCTAAAACAGCCCTACAAATCATGATTGAGCAAATTACTTTTCTTAATAATAATCTCGATTTTTCTAAAGGTTTACCACCTTCACCAAGTTTTGAACAGTTTATCGAGAATGACAATAATTATGTATATTTTTTTGATTCTTCACACTTTAAATGTTATGATTTGCTAGAATATTATATGAACAATATATCGTTATTAAAAATATATGGAAAGGACCTTATACGAGAATTGGTTAAAAGTAAAAAAGGTCTTGACATACTAGAAAATAACACTAATAAAATTATGTCTGATATATCAATTTTAAAATTGTATGGAAAGGACATCATGCAAGGATTAATCAGAAGTAAAGGCGATAAAAGAATTAAGGATTTCTTTAAATATTGTCTTGATAAAAGTTTATTACAACTTAAAGATGGAGATATTTCTGCATTTAATACATTGATAAATATAGTTACTTCAGCACTTTTAGAATTAGAATCATTTAATAGAAACTTTAGATTTACAGAACGTCTGCTATCACAAACTGCATTACTAGTCCCTGATGATTATGAAGATTGTTTAGATCATATGTCTCATTTATCTCATCTTGAACATTGTGGAAATTACAATCTGTTTTATTTACCGAGGGTTTCATTTATTGATTATATATATTTTTGGATTTCTTCTAATTGGGAAAAGATAGAAAAATCTTATCCGCGAATTTACAAACTTTTAAAATTTTCTTTTTTAGATAACTTTTCTTATTTTGTTTTGCATTCTAAAGTAACTATCAAGTTAATAATTCCTACATCAAATTTTATTACCTATCCTGAAAATTATTTCACATATAAAGAATTAATTTATCCACCAAATAATTCTTTCACTTTATTAAACGTTGCTGAATATTATAAATGGTGGAACATTAAAGCACTTGTTAACTTCAAATGGAATACATATGGAAAATATTACTATTATGTTATATGGATACTTTATTCAATATTTTTGCTATCCTTTGCTATAATAGCAACATTATCACAACAAGAAATTTCTTGGGGCAATCAATTAATTAGCCTGATAATAACTATTTTTTTTGGCCTTTTCTTTTTCGTATTTGAAATTCGACAATTTATACACAAACCAAAGTCATATGTTACTAATATTTGGAATTGGTTTGGTATATATAATTTTAAGGCAAATCATAATAATAATTTAAATTATTAACACTATTTTCTATTATTTTTAGATCTTGCTGCAATACTGTTTCCAACGATAACATCAATAATATGGTTATATGATAAAGCTCCATCAACTTGGATAATTTCTATTTCAATATTTTTGCTTGAACTCAAATTTTTGTTTTTTTTTCGTGCTATAGATTATTTTGGAACTTATTTTGCAATTATAATTGGAGTAGCACAACAGGTTTTCTCATTTCTTGTAGTTCTAGGAGTTATGATTTTTGCATTTGCACACTCTTTACATATTTTGTTAAGACCTACTACTGAATTTTCTTATGAACGGCCAAGTTATAATGATGATCCTAATAATCCTTGGAATCTTGTACCAAAATACCAATCAATTATATCTGATAGAATTTTTGAAAATCCATCTCTAATCGAAAATCCAGATGCAAACACAAACTTGTTTACATCATTATATACTGCACTTATGGCAGTTTACTTCATGTTAACAGGTATTAAATAATAAATTAATATTATATAGCAAAAATAATATTAATAATTACTTAATTTTTTTAGGAGATACAAGTTCTGTTTCATCGTGGGTTTTGAAAGATAACTGGACTTTGGCGTTTTTATTAATAATATTTTCATTTTTTTCATCAATTTATTTAATGAATTTATTCATTGGATTGCTTAGTATAGCAATCGACAAAACGAATAATGAAGAATCATTTTTACAATTGAAAGGAGAGGTAGATTTTCTGAATTATATAATTTTATAGTAAAAATGATTTAATATATAAATAATAATGTTTTTTATAGATATTATCAGAAATTGAACTCTTTTGGATGTTACCTTATCAAAGAAGAAAGAAAAATTGGTTTCCAGATATTTTGTAATTATTTTGAAATTTTATGAATTATAATTTTGATATTTTATTCTAATGATAAATTATTTTTAGATATTATGAAGCTTCAATTGATGAACTTTATAAATATATTAAAGAAATAAAAAGTAAAAACTTTGAAGAAGCATCTTATTCAAACATGTCAACAATTCTGAAAATTTCAAAATTTGAAGACATTGAAGAAAATATAGCCAAAAGAATTAATATTAGCAATGAGCAAATAAATAAAAAACTTGATAAACTAATGGAGTTGATAACAAATATGTGAACTATATACTAAATAATTAACAACTACTATTGTGATATCTCAATTGTTTTTAAAGGTATTCTTCTTTTTGTAATGAAATATTATTGTTGTTATTTTTTTTTTAAATATAACTAGATTTATTTATTATGCAAAAAAAATATCTGCCTGGCTAATAATAATGATAAGCTGTCAGTAATACTAGTTTACACATATGTTTTATTAGATAAAATTACTAAACAATTCCATAACACGTATGGTGCTGGAAGATTACACACGACAACAACATAGTAACTTTAAAAAGCGTCAACTTTCTAAAAAAGCAATATTTTAAAAAACTAACTTGTGACTTTATAGAGCTCATTATAAAGAACAAAGTTACTGGTTGGCTTTTTAAAAAATTGCTACTATAAAAAGTTGATGCTTTTTAAAGTTATTATAGTTTACTATAACCAAAATTGAAATTACTGATCATCTGTAAAGCAATTGATTGGCTATTTTACAATATTATTGACCAAAAAAAAAAAATTTGAACATTTCATGCGAGAATGTCCCAAATATGGGGGACGTCTAAAGCGAATCAGATTTTATAATATATATTTTATTGAATTAATATTAGGGTTAGGTTAGATTTTAGAATAATTATATATAAGCAAAATTTCTTTCTAACATTTTAATTAACCCACCAAAGACTGCCATTTTTTGTATTTTTCAGGTTTTTTTTTCATTTTTAATTCTTGTTTTGTTTCATCAAAATAACGTAATTTGATTGGTCAGATATCACGTGATTCTGCTCCGCTTTATTGTTTGGACTATTGATTGGACCCGTCTAACTTGGGTTACCTGACGGGCTGATCTGGGTAGACTGACGGGTATTCCCTGCCAATATTTTACCCGATGAAAACAAATATCAGTGATTGGCTATGGGTTACCCGGGTTTGACGGGTCTAATTACTCACAAATGTTATTGTCATATACTGATTAGCCAATATAAATCGTTAATTTTATACAACTAGTCAAAGCAAATCAAAGAAATTTAATCAAAATTTATATTCAAAATTTCAAATAAATGGGGTTTTTGCCTTGAAAATGACTTTACAGTACATGATACCATAAGGTCATTTTCAAGACAAAGATCTCAAATGTCATTGAGGATTTTATTACAGATAGATAAACATGTCTTTATTGATTTGAACCAATTTAAACATATTATATATAAGTATAACTGTTGTTATTAACAACAGTTATACTTATTAGTACTCCGCAAAATCAAATCAAAATTTGAATTTGAGTCAAATGTTTAAAATTATTTGATCAAATTAATTAAGAATTTAACCAAATAATTTCAAATATTTGTCTCAAACTCAAAATTTAATTTGATTTTGCAGAGTACTACTTTTAAATATTTATAGTTTTGTTCTATAGCTAAATTATATATTGTATTTATTATATAAATCTATTACTATGGTTTAAAAAATTTTAAAAAAAAAAAGAAAAAAAAACCAAGTTAATAACTTATTGGTAAATAATATATTACTGCCAAATAACTTAAGTTATTTTAGTAGCACTATCATAGTAAGCTATTAGATAATTATTATTATTAACAAAATTAAACTTTTTAATACTTGAATAATTTTACTTGATTTATTAATTATTATATTTTACCAAAAATGTGTTATAAGATATTATTTTTAGTCTATACTTTTGATTAACTATCATGTATACTATATATTAAAGAATTTAGTTTTTCTTTTTATTTAATAAATAATATATATATATCTTTATTCAGATAAAACATGCTTTGAATGGGTGTGATATCAGCTCTAGTTATCACCCACCAAGTGGCAGGCCTAGAGTTTAAATCCCATAGATAATATTTTTTAAAAATAGATCTGTATGAGGTAATGATTATCTACTGATTGGTTGGATCTACAATCTATAATCTTGGTTGTACCTTTAGCAGGGACAGTCAAATCATTGGCTATCCTGAGTTAACAATTACTATAAAGAGGTGTCATGTAACAAATAAATGTAGATCAATTTTTAAATAATATTTACATAGAGGTGTGATACTTAATATATATGATTCCTATGCAACACAGATTAAAGACCTGATTCAAAGTAATTTTGTAAGTAATAATGAATTATTACTTATCTCTTACTTAATATTAAGTAGTGTTAAGTATTTATTACATTATTTGTATTACTTATTACATATAAAATTTTTTTTTATTTATCATATAATAGTCGGGAGTGAGTGATCAAGATTAAGAATAATTTTATATAATTTCAAATTTTTAATTTTTATTTATCATATATACATTTTTTATATTAAATTTTAAAATTTTAAGAATTTACAACTCCAAAAATGTTCTTTTTACACATTCTAATAAATTTTTAATTGTTGTATCATCTGACACTTTTTGAACTTCATTTGAATCATCGTCATCAACATTATTGTATTCGTTATCTTCGATAGACTCATTTTCATATAAATCTTTTTTTAAAGTTTTTAATAATGTATCAGTATTTTTTTTGATTTCATTTCATAAATAATTCAAACAAATAAAACATTTAAATTGCTAATTCTGTAAGCAATAACTATGGTAACCATCCCGCATGCCAAAATGCTTCAATTAGATGAATCGAGAGGATTATTACAATAAGTAAAATCACACAGAGTGTTAAGATCAGGTTTTTTTAAAGTAACAAAACCTCTTAGAAGGTGGCAGTTTGTAATCTTATAACCTAATGATAGTAATTTATATGTGTTAATATTATTAGATGAATCAATTACAAAATAATTTTGGTTAGATGCACGATATATTTTAGCAAACATTTCCAAAATTTCTATTGCGCATTTTTGAGAAAGTGCTTGCAATTGTTTTGGTGAATACGGATATTTTGTAGAGTGTACAAAATATTGTTAAAAATCATTGTTATGACACTGTTGGTAAATTAAATGGGCCGTGCTTCGTAATTGTTGAGCCGTAGAAGATTTAGTAGTGCGCTGCCTAACAATACTATGAAAAAGTTCCACAGGACAATCAATTAAGTAAGCGAGGTGATCAATAATCATATTAATTATTGGATGGCTAGTTTCCATCTAATAAAAAATATCAGAAAAAAACATTATAGATGCACACTTATAATTTTTTCTGTCAAATTGCAAAAAAAGATCACTCCAACAATGCATGCAAGCATCTTCGTATGCTAGCCAATTTCCTTCCTGATGGTGTATCATGTAAATGTCTAAAACTAAGGGAATAAGATTATTAAAAAGATTAGTCAAATATAAAAACTCTATATTTTTGCACATGTATCCAAATTTTAAATAAATAAAATCAACTATCTCAAACTATGCTAGATGTATAATATAAAGAATCAAATCTATTTGTCATGGTCATGGTTTCTGACCAATATTCTTACGAGACCCAAATATACTCTTATACAAATCATTAAATAAAAATAAATTTTTTGATAAAATTAGCTAATGGGCATTTAACAACACATGGAGAGAACCTATAATAGGTAGAAATGCTATAACAAATTCAGAAACATTCCGATTATCCAAAAAAACCTTTTGCACTATTGCCTTATGAATGTAAAGTTGGCTAGGCCAGTCTGCAACGATGGGAACTGCAAATTTGGAAAGATATTCTTGCATTGGCTCCTGATTATACATGGTCTGAAATGAGGCTAAATACCCGTCAATACCCTTTAAACTGCATTCAACAAAATCAAAAAGGATACAGTTTTTTATATTCTGTTCACTTTTTTTCTCTATTAATCTATCGTCGTAGCTATATAAAGTAAGTTTCTCTAATAATTCGACATTAGTATACTCTCTTTTCATACAATTTTTAGTAAAATTAAAATAAAATACACTAAGATTAACCATAAAATGCTTATC